AACATCTGACCTTCCTTTTTTTTTTCTACAACACACTGGTAATAATCAGTGTCTTTATCTGTCACATTATTTTTAGTCAAAGCTACACGGTTTGTTTTAACACCATATGAGCGGGATAGCAAAAAATATCCGTCTCATAAGTGCAACACGTGATTTCTGTATTCTGAGCAACGAGTAGAGAGATTAAACCTTCACACCTTTTTGAGCAGCTAATGTACTTGTGAGTATGGTGCACAGTACGGTGTTAAAACTTTACTGATACCAGCGTTACATTCGTGTAAAATGAAAAATAAACATGCCTGTCACACAGTTTTCGTTTCAGTCAGCAATGGCATCAGCTGTTTTTCAACTATGTGTCCAATACATACTGTTGATTTGACTGACTGATGTAAGACACTACTATACTACTACTATGCTACTATATGCACATCAGAATGGCTTCATCAGCATTGTAACTTCCTGAGTTAATGTCCTCTCGTCCCGTTTTGCTCATTGGGGCTCATGATACTGTATTGTGCTGTAGATGACACTTCTATCGGCTGGTTCAGTCTAAGGAGGAAAACAAGCACAGATAACAGATACTGAAAAACATATCCATTGATCACAACAACGACACTACAAAGTACCAAAATTTGTGTCAGGGACCGATAACCAAGATATTTTGGCGTCTGTGTGAATTGAAAATTAATTATGTACCATTTGCTGCATGTTGCTTGTTCGTACAACGGTGCTGTAGGTCACACTCTCCGTGGGAATGCAGTCCTGCTGGGCGAGATATACAGTCAAAGTGATGGTCAGAATATAAAAAATAAAGCAAATATATATCTTTTGAGTCACAGTTTCTACCTTGGTCTCGGCTCCTGCATGCTCATTGCGAACAATGGTAGCGTAGGATACATCAGTATCAGGATTTTGTGAGACCTATGAGGGATGAATTTGAATTATAACAATAAATACATGACACGTTCAATTTATTATATCACTGAAGTATATTTATGCTCTACTGAATACTGACAAACTCCAAGTATCTCCAGCAGCATCAAATCTTTCCAAACTCTGCTTAAACGTATATGATCTACTCTTGCACTCAAGATTACAATTATTTCCTATTTGGGTTTAAGAGTTCATATTTTTTTTACTCTACTTTTGTAAATTAAAGTAGTTATGTATTGCATTGTGGCCGCAAGGTGTATTGGTGGTTAGTACTGTTGCCTTGCAGTGAGAGGGTCGCTGGTTTGCATCCCAGTGAGGACACCTGCGGTCTTTCTGCGTGGAGTTTGCATGTTCTCCCCGTGCAGCGTCGGTTTTTTGCGGCTTCCTCCCACAAGGTTGAAGTTAATTGGTGATTCTAAATTGTCCGTAGGTGTGAATGTGAGTGTGCTTGGTTGTCTGTCTCTAAGTGTAGCCCTGTGATAAACTGGTGACCTGTCCAGGGTGTCCCCTGCCTTCACCCTGAGTCAGCTGGGATAGACTCCAGCCCCCTGCAACCCTAGTGAGGATTAAGCGGTGTATAGATAATGGATGGATGTATTGCATTGCATAACTATAAACTGTGAAAGTGAGCATTGTTGTTTAACTCTTTGACTTAAAGGTGAAAACCTACACTTTAATCACATCTTGGCTATTTGCAAACTGCAAATCCATTGTGGTGGCGTAGAGACAACTACATCTGACTGTATGTGCACCTCAGGCTGCTTGGAAAGAAGTAAACTTGCAAATAACCATTCTGTAAACGGCTCAAATGTAGCAGAAAACATCATCTACTTTCAAAATGTGTGATAATATTCATGGATTTGAATGTTTATGCTGGCCCCTATAAATCTAACTGCACTTTTAAGCAGCTGGTGAGTCTAAAATGTACAAATTAACGAGAAAAAAAGAAGAAGTCATTATTTAATTTCACCAACGTAATGCAACATAGGATTCTCACAGTATGTACCTGATGTCAGTCTATAGATCTATAATCAATGATTGGCCAAGTTCCTTAAATGCTGTTAATTTAATGTGTTTTATGAGTAGCCCAGATTTGAATATATTATAAAATATCTTATGTACCAAGCAAAGAGGAAATATACAAGTGATGATGAAGATGACCGTTGTTTTTTATGACAAAACAAATAAGCATGACTCACCACACTGATGTCAGACACTTCAGGTTTGCTTTTCTCTGAAACATAATCATTTTTGAGGAAGGTAAAAAAAAAAAACAACATCATATATTTGATTCAGCAGAAGTTTATAGTTGACTTACTACGCACGATCATCCTCCATTTGAAACAAGCGGCAGAAACAACCAACACCAGCGAGACCAGGGCGGTTGTGAGAACTATTATCATTGTGAAACTAGAAGGCAGATGCAGATAAGACATACATTTAATTCCATTACACAAGTGCATTTAAGAAAAGATTTTTGAACAACTTACAGTGCTGTCAGAAATTGGCTCCTGTATGAAAATGCCATTTTTGCCTATATAATACTTTGCTAAGCTAAAAAAAAAATCTATTAATGCAACCATATCTCCTCTTAAACAGAAGTTTGAAGGAAAATCATTTGCTTTAAAATCTATGTTCAAGACTGATTTGGAAGAGCGATCTCTTAAGCCCACATATGTTCTGTGATGTTTTTAAGAGGCTGCATGTACATTGTATCACGTAAAAACCTTCAATGGTGGCGAGGGGACGGCATGCTGAAATTAGACGTCGCTTGAGTGAAATAAAAATAGAGCACAGACCTCTTCCGTTCATCTTTTGGACTCCCACTTCCTGTTCCGTTTCTGGTGGAGGTTGCGGGTTGGGCTGTATGTGTTTCACTACCTGTGAGCGAGAAGGACGTCTGGCGAGTGAATGACGGTGTCCCTGTGGATTATAACAGAGTTAGTTCAGTCTCTCACTTCATTTCAATTCATTTCAACAACAGGTTTCTAATTTACGAAGACAAAAAAAATGAGTCAGGTTAGTTTCATACCTGTTGAAATGGGCCTCGATGAAGTTGTAGTCGTTGAGGATAATTCATGAACAGTTACATGCACTGGCATCTGGAAGCCTCCTTCGGCACACCAATACCAGCCACTGCTCTCAGTCCTCAGCTCAATCATAGACACATTCAAAACATCAGGGACACTTGCATTGATTTTCACAGTGGTTCCATCTATTGATCCAATTTCATCTGTTGCACAGCTGCTGCCCAGTCTGCACCACTGTGGTACCTTTGGATAATTATAGTGGCATAGAACAGTCACACTTCCTCCTTGAGGTCCTGCAATTTCTTTTTGGCTCACAAACAGACTTGGTGTGCCTGGAAAAAAAATAAAGCATAGTCTGATTGTATTTTAGAAGTAAGAAAAAGTAGTGTTATTTTTTCCTTTTTCTTCCAACAGGTAATTCAAAGAAAGGATTTTTTTTTAAAAATATTACTTAAAAAGTTTTTTTTTTTTTTTTTACCTGTGGTAAGTGACAGTTGAAAATATTTTTTAACATCAGGACCTGAAATTTCCACAGCACACCAAAAATAACTGTCTTCATCCGTAATATTCTTAATAGTCACAGTGAAGATTCTTTGCTCTTTGTCATCAGAGATGCAAAACCTTCCCGAGCAAGGTTCTTGGTCTGTTCTAATAACAGTTTTGCAGAAAGCCCATCTATATCCTTTACACAAGTATTTCACATCGTCTCTGTATTGTGCCTCATAGAGACAAGGGATAGAGACGGACTCTCCAGCCTTCACTGGCACATCACTCACTGTGGTGATTCGACAGTGAATTCCTGATAAAGCAAAAGAAGACACATAACTTACAGTGATGGCCCTTAAATGCACTGTCATCCACAGGTTACTGTCAAATAGCAGCATCACATCTCTGTTACAAATCAATATTAAGACTTAACTGTACATTTTATTAAAACACAATATCTATGATGAATAATAGTGACTCATCACTTCAAATGTAACAGCTCGTATTTTATGACTAAACAGCTCAAGGTTTAGCTCACTTACCCATGAGTCCAGCGAGAATTAGATGAGGAATGTAAAGAGAAGTCATGCTGGCATCAGTGCTCTCACAGAATGCACCCTTTTCCTATCACAGAGGCTCATTCTATCTGGGTTGCTTCCTCTTTTTAACAATGGCCCCTGCGTCCTGCTATTAATGTCGTCATAGTTTTCAGGGCTTTTCATTTAAAAGACTATCAAAAGTGCATGATCAAATATTGAATTTTATTGACTTTGCTTGTAGTCACACAGAAGTGAAACATTATCCTACACCACTCACTGTACTGTTAAACTTATAATTGGCCTCTAGTTCAATATAAAGCAGAAAGGGTACATTACACAAACATCTATTGTGTTACTGTTTATCATTTAGGTGTGATGTTGCACATTACATTCATTCTGGTAAAGTTTAGCTTTAAATTCCGATTGGAGTTGCCGTAACTACAGTCGTGGTATCGAGAACCGGCTCCAACACAGTGGATGTTTCAGGCCTGAACAGACCAGACAAAACAATAGTGACTAGTTAGTCATTTGCCAATGCTTTTCCTTGTACATCAACAGAGGTTGATGTTCAGTGTGAACTAGATTTCCAGACAAGCATTTGCATTTTATCTAAGATCAAATGTTATGATGGAGTTCAGCATGCAGACAGATGCAAAGCTTGACTGTGAGGTTTCAGTTATGATTTGGTAAATGCTGTCTGGGTGAGAGGTTAAGCAAGCATCAACAAAGCCTGACCGATGCAGGATTTTAAAGACCAACATGTTGATTTAGACGCCTGAGAGCTGAAAAAGTACACATAAACCCACTACAAACTTTTTTTTTTTGATAAGGATTATGATTAAAATGATATTTTTCATAGTTAAAATATAGTCTGTCACCAAATCTGTCACAATAACTGATTTTAATGTGTTGATTTAGACAGTGCATCAATGTACAACCCCTGTTTATTTCAGTCTACACAATGCAAGTCATAAGAGAGCATTATTCAACTATCGTGCATGTCATCCTTTCAAACTTGTAGTGAACTGTTACAGTGACTGAGTGTGCAGGAACCCGACAAAAAGCGCTGACATTTCTCAGTACGTGCATGTTCATCAGGGAGGAAATGGTAGCACCTTTGTTTATTTACTCACTAGAACTACTTCACTGCCTGCTTTCCTAATAACTGTAGACTAAAGGTTGTGAGTGGGCTGCTGCCTACACCACTGTACTTGCCACTAAAACAATGATTCACAAGCGCTGACTGTGTTCTGCCCTGTAGCAGAGCTGTGATGCGTTCTGCAAACTCATGGAATGTTACCAGCCTTGAACTTGCAGCAAACTATGCAATGGTGGAATTGGTAGCCCAATTAAATGGATTAAACAGCTGCTGTTGGTTTTACCTGAAAATGTTCATTGTAAACCCTGCGATCAGCCACTTGTTAAATGGTCTGACAGAAATATGACAGTCAGGCTTTAGTTAGCAGGAGCCTAGAACTCATATTCGCCCTTGTGTCCCATGCTGGGTTGTTCTGGGATTGGCAATTGCTTAAGGGTCTATTTTTTCCCTCTATCACTGTTCTGATATCAGTGTAGGCCTCAGAGCCCAAACCTCAACATCAACAAGTCAGTGTGCGAAAGTAATGGAAGCATCTAAGGCAGGGATCTCCAAGTCCAGTCCTCGTGTGCTATTGTCCTGCAGGTTTTAGACGTTTACTGCAACACACCTGACTCAAATTTATGGATCTCCAGCAGCTTGTGTTGCAGTACGGAAACATCTAAAACCTGCAGGATACTTGACATAAAACCTATCCATACCATTGTTTCTGAAAGTATATTATTACTTTATTTTTAGTACCAAACACTTGTACCTGCATAGTACTGGTTGCCCACATTGGGACTTTTTTGGCTGCCCAACACAAAATATACCATATTTTTTGCAGTGTAAAAACAGACTATGTTGATAACTTGCCATTTCGTTTTACAGTGTAAAAACTGTACAATGGGTACAACGGTTTATAAAGTTATTGTAGTCACATGAGGCTGTAAGTTTGACTATTGTCAATAAAATCACCTAAAAAAGAAAGTTATTGTACGACATGACCTCACCACAATGGCCGCCCACTGCCGACGCTGCTTTTTACGTCTTCGTCGACTGTTGATGACGTTTTTATGTACCTACAGATGACTGCGAGAAATACAAAGCAACAGAGGTCTATTTCGGCGCCCAGTTTAACTTTATTGACCACCCACGGCCGGTGAAAGCTGTGAATTCACAGCAGCACCACCAGCCAGTGTGGGTGTATTTTTTTTTTCTCCTTTCTTTTCATTAAACCACATTTTCTTGTCATTCATGGAATACGGAAAGGAGAGAGTGGTGGCGTTGGTCGACCTGGACTGTTTCTACGTGCAGGTGGAACAGAGGCTGAATCCAGCTCTGAGGAACACTCCCTGTGCCGCAGATCTGAATCTGCTTCATAGTTTATTCAATATGCAATATACAAAAGTCCAAACCTGCCTTTCTACCACATCTCCTTACTGCAATGATGTTACAGTTTGGGTAATGTGATGATGTATAAAAATATACAGAATATTTTGCTGTAGATAAACTTTCAAAAATATATGGACTGAGTTGTGACAGTAGCAACAACTGAATATATTTTTCACATAATAATGCACACAAATAAATTCAAATAAAGAAAATATCATTCCAGTTTGCCATTTGATGAACAACAAGTTTGTCATTCTATCCACATTCACTTGCGTTCCTTAAATACACAACGTTACCAAATATACATGAAAGTGTAAATACGAAAAGGCTAAATATATACAATGAGTTCCCAAACATCTTGAAAAGAAAGGTCAATGGTGCGGTAAATGCGGTAAAACCAAGAAACATGTTGTCTTTTTTTTTTTTTTTTGGCTGCTGTAAAAAAACTAAAAGGAGAAGTGGAAAGTTATTACCAGTTAATACCAGCAGAGGACACAGTGTGATACTATAAAAAAAAAAGGGAAGAAAAAGAGGACAGTAAGCTACAGACAAAAAGACAAACAGTTGAAACATTTAAATGTTTCGGTGGTACTCAGCTAACGTGATATACGCAACATCCGCATCTTTAGCTTCATCCTGTTGGAAAACAGAAGCAAAATTAGGAAGGAAAAGAAAAACATAAAAAAAATCCCAAATCTGACAAGAAAGTGGACAAATTTAAGAGAATCCCCTAAAATACTAGAACCAAAAACAAAACGATTTGAAATGACTGAATAACTGGAAGTGACAAACAGAGTGAGGTTGCTTTTAGTTCTCTTAATATTTACCCTTTTCACATTTTTTCTCTTCGTGGTAACCACAGAGCTGTACATCACCTCCGCATCACTTCCAGGATATGACTTGTGGGTAAGGACAGACATGAGAAATTGAACATTTTTCAGCTCTGATGGATTTTTCTTCAAAGCAAAAGTTTAATATTTAGTATTTTAGGGTTACCTTTCGCATGAATACAACACTGGAGTACGTTGCATCCTCTTGAGTCTGTGTTAAACGAGCAAACCAGGCAAATGGTCACTTACAGAAGGACTGAACAGATGAATTTTATTACATTACTATGTGTCATAGTGTAGTCCTGCAGCTTATAGGAACTAGTTGTTTCCTTAAAATGCTGAACTTGATTTCCAAATAACGCTGCGGTTGTGGGTTACCTGGCTTGAATTTTGTTTCGTAAGACTAATTTTAGAGTGTGTTATTGCTTCGTCCACCGGCGGTGCAGAAGTAAATCACAAGTTAGACAGTCTTTGCACAACTTCAAAAATGCATCAATTACAACACAGCTACAGCAGATTAAAATCTCTCTGTGTTTGTGAAAATTGTCAACGTGCTGAAAGAGTGAACCATTTTCACATACATGAGATAAGTCCTTTCTAATGCGCTCATAAGGGGAAAACTGGCTAAACTATCACTAGTGTGCTAATCAGGGGTCCGTTTCACAAAGCAGTGAAAACTCTGAGTCTGTTAAGCCAGGGTTAGGGAGATGGAGTTTGGGGATAAAGTCAACACTGAAGAGGTCATTGAAGCTTTCAGGAGAATACCACAGGAGATGCAGCTTTTAGAGACAATGCAAAGGTTTGTAGCTGCTGCAATATCAATTTGCACTACATGTAAATGTTTGAATTGCTGTATATAAAAAGATTTCCTGTCAGTTTGAGGAGAGGATATCTGTAAAGTTCATGTTAGACTTGTGAGTTAACAGACTCGGAGTTTTCACTAAACCTGCTTTGTGAAACGGACCCCAGGTCTTGGCAGAAGGTAAAATCTTCTGCTTTTGTTAAATTCACTTTCACAATTCTTGTAGTGTCACTGACCCATTAACCATTCTAGCAGGGAAATAAATTACTTAAACTTACTGTTGCTGTGGTTGATGGTTGTGCTTTGGTCTGCTCTATATGAAAACAAAACTGCAGTTACCGACTCACTGTGACAATGCAGAATAATCTGAACTTGACGTGACAACATGCATGAATTCCAAAAGCCGAAGTTCATCCAGACTTACTGTGTCTAGCCCAGACGAACAAGGTCACGACTACGATGAAGATCAACAAACTCAGAGGGAAGATGAGGAGCTTTAGGTCAATAGGAGGGCTGCAGCAAACATTTTGAAAACCACAATGAAAATTAGATCAGTTTAATAAGTTATCATAGCATTTTAAACCATTTTAAAGAGAAAGGATTGTTTTGTTTGACCTTGCAGAGACTTCTGGCTCGTTCTGCACGTTTGCTTCTGTGGTGGTTGGTCCAGCATCAGAAGTGTCACGAGGTGTGCCTGTAATTCAAAACAGGGCAACTATTAGTAGAGGAATGTCCATCCATCCATCCATCCATTATCTATACACCGCTTAATCCTCACTAGGGTCGCACGGGGGCTGGAGTCTATCCCAGCTGACTTAGGGTGAAGGCAGGGGACACCCTGGACAGGTCACCAGTCTATCACAGGACTTCACTCAGAGACAGACAACCAAGCACACTCACATTCACACCTATGGACAATTTAGAATCACCAATTAACCTCAACATGTTTTCGGACTGTGTGGGAGGAAGCCGGAGAACCCGGAGAGAACTGAAAAACCCACCACTAGTCAGCACACCAAGTGATTCTAAATTATAAACATATAAAAATGACAACCATCATAGAGCCCAAAGAGATATAAGGAATAATAGTTGTCACATTCCTTTACTGGGGCTGCAAGGTGGCGCTGCATGAGGAGAACATGCATTGTCATTATAATTTAGAATCACTTGGAGTACTTACTAGTGGTGGGTTTTTCAGTAACAGTTACATGCACTGGCATCTGGAAGTCTCCTTTGGCGCACCAATACCAGCCGCTGCTCGTTAGCTTCAGTTCACTCATAGTCACACTGAAAACAGTAGAACTCTGTGCAACGATAGTCACTCTTGTTCCGTCTATTACTCCGGATGGCCGTGTTACACAGTTCTTTCCCAGCCTGCACCACTTCATTTCTCCAGCGGTACTGTAGCGACAGCTGATGGTTGTGGCTTCTCCAATAAATCCTGTAACCTCCTGATTATCCACATAGAGACTGGGCGTACCTTGATGGAAAACAAGGAGAAAATAGTCAGTAGCCTTTAGACTTCACATTTATTCTACAACATAAGCTTTGATTGAAAAAGTGACAGTAAAAATACAAACAGCCTGTGTCACAACAATTAAGACCTTATTTAGGGTTTGTCCTCCAAATTGTTACAATTTAATAAAGGTCCAAAAAGAAGGGCACTTACCTATGGTGGCTGACAGGTAAACCAACTGTCTGATATCTGGGCCTCCATTAATCTCCACAACACACCAGTAAGCTGCTCTTCCATTTGATGACTGTTTCATAGTCACAGTGAAAATGTTCAGGGTTTTTTCATCAGAGATGGAAAACCTTCCTGATCTATCTGGCTGATCTGTTGTAACTACAAATTTGCAGTAGTTCCAATAATATCCTACACACAGGGCTTTAACGTTGTTTCTGTATCGACGGTCATAGAGACAGGGGATAGTGACTGAGTCCTCAGCCTTCACAGATACTTCGGTGATGGTAGTTATGCAAGAAATTCCTGCAACAACAACAAACACAACATTTTACACAAACAGTCTCTAAAACCTAAATGTTTTGCATTTTAAAGTTTCGATGTCTTCACAACTTATGAAATAAAACAGTTACGCACTCAAACACCAATGTATGTATGTGAAAACCCTCTTGGAAATAAAACCTTTCTGATTCTGATTACAGGTTATTGCAAAGCATCACCTAAAAAAAAAAAAAAGTCATGACACCGACCTGTTAGTCCAGCCAGGATAAGAAGAGCACTGAGATGAACAGCCATATCGATGTGAACATGAATTGCTGCTCTACACGACTGATTCTCAACTTCCTAATTTGTCTAATTAAGTAAGCGTGACTGCAATCATTCTTCCTCCTCTAAGGCAATCGCTATTCAAAAGTCAGCTGATCAATTAAATATTGCATCTACCCACACTGACTAACGGCTGGAAAAACATCCATTGATTATCTGGGGAGCTGCTGACTCTCCTGCTGCATTCTTTGCAATATCTGGCAACCCTGTTATAGAAAACTGACATTACAGAAAGTCACTGAGGAACATAATTACCTCATAAGGTGTGCAATGGTTAAAAAAATGTCTTAAATCTGGAATGACAAGAAAGTTGTAGAAACTCTCTTTTTCTTTTCAGTTTTGTTTTGACTGCCTGTTGAGTCTATAGGCTTTTATTGGAGGATAGGTCAGGAATGCTGAACTGATGATCACAAAGTAGTAGAGTCGAAAAGTGCAAAATATGCCAGTGTTTGTGTATATGTGTGTGTGTGTGTTTCCTCCGCCTCCTTCCACAAGTAGCACCTACAGCTAAAGTTATTGTCGTCACATGAGCCTGTAAGTTTGATATTGTCAATAAAATCATCAAAAAAAAAAAAAAGTTATTGTAGTTACGACATGACCTCACCACAATGGCCGCCCACCACTGACGCTGCTTTTTACGTCTTCGTCGACTGTTGATGACGTTTTTATGTAACGACGGATGACTGCGCGAAATACAAAGCGACAGAGGTCTATTTCGGCGCCCAGTTTAACTTTATTGACCACCCACGGCCGGTGACAGCTGTGAATTCACAGCAGCACCACCAGCCAGTGTGGGTGTATTTTTTTCTCCTTTCTTTTCACTAAACCACATTTTCTTGTCAGTCATGGAATACGGAAAGGAGAGAGTGGTGGCGTTGGTCGACATGGACTGTTTTTACGTGCAGGTGGAACAGAGGCTGAATCCAGCTCTGAGGAACACTCCCTGTGTGGTTGCTCAGTACAAGACGTGGAAAGGAGGCAGGTGAGTTTCAGACACAGAGAAGCTGTTTTAAATGATCAACGCAACTAAAAGTGCAAACGCTGAGACCGTGACACGGACGTTCAGGTTTCTATATCTGGATGACATTTCATAGCAAAACCGGAAGTTATGCAAACATCTATTTCTCACTTTTATTCGCGCCCATTTAGTTGTTTATCTTATTCTGTTTCACAAGACAGCATTCCTGCACCCTTCCTAGCTTGCTACTGGAGGAGCTTCTGTATTAAAAAGGATGACCATTGCCACACAAATCAGTCTCAGTTATATTAGAAAAAAACATCTAAACAATAGCTGCAGAATCTCAAGAAACCACTCAGCAGAATACCTGGACTTGAGCAACAGAGTTAGTTTTAATAAAGAAATAGTCGTAGAAATTCTGAACTCCATGTCCACTTGTCAGTGCTTCTCCAGCTTTATTATTATTTAAAATTCTTCCTCAGCAGTTGGGTTTTGTGGAGTCAAGTGTGGATCCCTGTGACCCACTCTCGTGTAGCTCAAAGATGGTGTTTGGCATAGATTGTGCATGTTTTCCTTTTAATCTTTCTCTGGTCACCCACTGACCTCTGGTTGGAAACTCTAACCTCCCTCACAGTCTATGATGTGAGCACACAGCATGAAACTAGACAGTGGCTAGACTGGTTAAATAAACTGTAAACATATGTGTGTCCGACACACATCCACGCAGATGAACCTGCACTCAGCGTTTGTCTGTTCAGTTGCCTTGACCGTTTAGACTGTCGTCTCTGTGTTGGCAACTCACCCGCCCTCATCTCCCACAGATGACTATTTTGGACTTATTACTAACATGTTCTTACAGCACAACTTGAAGATGTGGTTTCTCAACTGAATGTTTTTCTCTGTTAGCATCATAGCAGTGAGCTACGAGGCCAGGGCCCACGGTGTCACCAGAAACATGTGGGTGGCCGATGCAAAAACACGGTGCCAGGATCTCCAGGTGGCACGAGTGCGTGAATCTCACGGCAAGGCCGACTTGACGCTGTAAGTGCTGAAAATGGACAACCCCAAACTTCTTCATATTGACAGGGTGATGGTAAATTTGTGTTTTTATTTACTCGCTCCTTTGTAGTTACAGGGAGGCGAGTGTGGAGGTGATTGAGGTGATGTCTCGTTTTGCTGTGATTGAAAGAGCCAGCATTGATGAGGCCTACATGGATTTGACAGCTGCAGTCCAGCAGCGGCTGAAAAACATGAGTGACAAACAAATAGAGCCTCACCTCCTGAAGACCACATACATCCAGGGGTACCCACAGAGTTCACCTGGACTGGAATCATCAGCAGTGGACCCCGTCTTGGATAAAGGTGTGATTTGACCCAACTTTGGCCAATCAGTCATTGACTAAGTTGTCTCAGCACTAGACACAGAAAGCTGGACCCCTAACAAAACTGTAAAAAAAAAAAAACTCCCCTAACAGCATCATGTTTTGTCCTCAGAGGAGCAGCGGTCCAGAGGCCTCCTGCAGTGGCTGGCATCCTTACCTGGCCCTTTATTAGAGGAGCACAGCTCTGCAAGCCTGCAGCTTACTGTGGGGGCCATGATTGTTGAAGAAATGAGAGCAGCTGTGGAGAAACACACAGGTTTCCGCTGTTCAGCAGGGATATCACACAACAAGGTAGGACAAACTCTCATGTAATGCTAGTCACAGTGATGCTGTAATTATCTTTTTGAACGGTACCGACTTTCTGCCTTTTTTATTCCAGGTGTTGGCTAAACTTGCCTGTGGTCTGAACAAACCTAACAGACAAACTATTCTGCCTTTGGACTCTGTAACAGAACTTTTTAACTCCCTGCCCATCAGCAAGATGTAAGTTCAAAGTACCGCTTGTTCTTAACAAATTTCTTATGTTCTGACATAGAAGCATGAAAACAAAACTTACTTTGAAATTCCTGTATTCTTGTGTTCCTTATTTCACCCATGTAGTCGTAACCTGGGGGGCAAGCTGGGTGCTTCAATTACAGAAACTCTGGGAATACAGAACATGGGAGATCTCACTCAGTTCTCTCAAGGCCAACTGGGACAGCACTTTGGAGAAAAAACAGGGTAAGAAGAGTCAGCCATCCCTTTAAAAGTCTAAAGTATCATAAGATGACTGGTAAACATGCATCCTCTTTGCATTTATTACGTCAGACAGTCATATCAATTGTAAAGTCTTAAGACAATCATTGCATTGTTTTCCTCACAAACAAAACAAAACTGTATAAAGGTTTAACCTACAAAGACAAACCTATTTATTAAGGAAGTGGATTTAAACTGTGAGCATTTTCTGACTTGATTTCAAACTGCGTTTACCACTGACTCTCTCTACTTTGCAGCCAGTGGCTTTATGACTTGTGTCGGGGAATTGAGTTTGAAGCAGTTAAACCCAGACAGCTTCCGAAGTCTATTGGTTGCAGTAAAAACTTCCCTGGGAGGACATCGCTGGCTAATAAAGAGCAGGTACAGACCATCAGTTTCTGTTCCGTCTGTGTTACACCATCATATTATCGTATTACTCTGTTTTACATAATTGTATATACATTTATTCATATACATCTATCATGTTCTTATTGATAACCTCTGTGTAGGTGCAGTACTGGCTTCATCAACTGGCCCTTGAGCTGGAGGAGAGGCTGACCAAGGACAGAGATGTGGTAAGAAAAATCTTTGGGGTTCCTCAACTGGGTTTCACATTGACGTCAGATTCGGTAAATACAACTGGTGAGTGCCTGTCATTTCTTGCCATCCTACAGAACGGTCGAGTGGCTAAGTTGTTGACAGTCGGTGTACGTCAGCTCGGTGATAAGAGGCCGAGCAGCTTCTCTCGATGTTGTGCTTTGGTGCGCTACGAGGCGACCAAAATATCCAGTGACAGCTTTGCCATTATCAAGAGTCTCAACACGGCAGGAAACCACCAGGCTGCATGGTAATTAGAGTGTACTGATGCAGTAACATTTAGAGTCAGTGGTTGAAAAAAATAAAAATGCTGTGTGATTTATACACTCTGTCTTGCATCATGTCCCCCAGGACTCCACCCCTAACCCTGCTACACATCTCAGCTAGCAAATTCAGTGATGCTCCGTCTGCAGGGGGGATTGCTGGCTTTCTTTCCAGTGATGTCACTTCAACCCAGAGTGTTTCCTCCAACACACAGCCATCCTCTGGACCAAAAAATAACTCTCCATGCAAACAATCTGGCACCATCCAGTCCTTCTTTCATAAGGCAGCAGAGAAACAAAAACAAAAGGATAGAAAGGATGTAGATGAGAGGGATGATGATACAGGCTCCACAGAATTCCTCACATCTTCCTCCCCTCACAAAACCCCTGATGCTGAGAGCCAGCTGGAAAAAGATACCACGTCTTCCTCTGCACTTCTTCCTCAAACCAAAACTGCTTCAAGCTCTGGCATTTCCTCCTTCTTCCACAAAAAGAGCCTTGAAAGAAGCTTACAGGTCTCAGTCTCAACAATGAACGAGCCTGAAACAGGACAAATGCCTGAACCTGTAATTAAAGAAGACTCTGGAGACACTGCTGCTAACACGTCAAGCCTACGATCAAAGCATACCTCTGAGGTTACATCTCACGAGCCACCATGTGAAGAGTTAAGGGATGAACGGGATGTTGACCCAGAGTTAAATCACCGTCCTCCCAGTGTGGCCACAGAAGACCTGTTAAAATGCGAACGATGTGGTCGAGAAGTGTTGGTCTGGGAAATGCCAGAACACAATGACTATCATTTTGCCCTGGACCTCCAGAATTCACTCTCTTCATCCACGGGTTCAGCAACCATCCCTTCACCTTCATCCACCATCTCTTCTCCTTCTTCCAGTGCCTCTATCAGTGCCCTCAGAGTCGGAGCATCAGGCACAACCCAGTCCTCTCGGGGCAAGACAAAAACCAGAGGCCAGCCAGGACCTCCGTCGAAAAAGCAGCGCTCCCAAGGAGGAAGTACAGGCACTCTGGATTCTTTCTTCAAGAGAAACTGAAAATTTGCTACAGAACTGCATTTTTAAATTAAATAAAAGTCATTTTAAATTAAGCTCATATTTGTAACAAAATGTGTGAAGGTAATGCGACATGATCTCGCAGTTGCTCAAACAATAGAAGCCATATCAAGACACACAAGGACTTAAAATTAAATTTAAATCATCAATGTTATTGTGCTTTATAGTATATCAGTGTGTACAAATTAAAGACAATACTTATTTATTTAATATGCTTTATATATGCTCTTATTAAAAAGCTAAAAACAATACTTTTAAGAGGGCAGTTTGTAAACTAAAGTATGTTGAAGATACTAATTGCACTTTGTAATAGCACACATTATGTTGTTGTACTGTGATACACCACCAGGTGTCACTATAACATAATATAAAGGTTGATGGTCAACATGAAGGTTTGTTTTGATCTCAAGTTACAGAAAGTTTTTGTATCTACAGGACATTATATAGTATTTGAAATGCAATTAAATTCAAAGGATGTTTGCGAGGAGCTCACACACAACTCTAAGTGCATTTAGTGTTTATGATAGTTAGACAACATCACAACTAATCAGAAAAACACAGAGCACCGGTCACACTGGTGGTTAGACCTGTACTAATAACAGGGAGATTTTACTTTAGTTTCTGTGAGACAAATACAACAAAGTAAACCTAAACCTGTTGCTTTTTACCACAACAACTACCTTCATATTTGGAACTACATGTGAAAGAATAAAGGGAAATAATGAGGTGTTTGTTCAAAAGCCTGTGATTGATTGTGCTTGGACATAAATTATGAAGCGCTACGGGAGTGTCAGACGTTTAAAGGTCGCCAGTCGAGCCAGTAGAGCAATAAAACCATGAGGAGGTAAGCCACCCTCTTTATGTTTTTATATCATGGTGATTATTGTTCCACGGTTCATGAGCACTAACAAAACCTGAGTTGCATTGTCTTGCATCAGATGGGAAACGGAATAGGAGGAGCCGTATCAGGAAGCTTGAATAAAGCCTTTTAAAACTCAATGTAGTTTAGTGAGTCATCGCTCTGAGGCACGGAGCTACAAGGCAAACTCCGGGTGGATGATGAGCAACTTTGTTTTACTTCAAATTACACAGTAAAACACCTGTTAAAGAGGCAATAAAAGTTTTATTCATGTACATTATGGTACACAAATTGGATCTGTACATAAATATTGCATTTCACCCAAAACAATGATCAAAATAGTATACTTTCAATTAAAGATAAAACAGGCCTTAAACGTGATTTCAAAAACGTGAAGATGTGCCGGTGTTACACTGCAACTGTGAAAAATGAGTTTGAATGAACTGTAAAATCTGAAACTACTACAAATCTATAAAATACTTCTGAGATGCATTAAAACAAGCTTCAACACCTGAACTCTTTATAAATGCTATAAAATATTTTGGTTGAAATGCGGTCTTAGTTTATCCGTCTTTGACTGCACACAAACTGTGCACGAACAACGTAGGAACAAGAAAACAGAGTTGTCCTGTATATCGCTGATGCCAGTCGGACAATAATGTGTGTATAAATTACGACAACATGCAATAATAAGACAAATGGTGAGGCCGAGAACAGAACAGAGAAGTAATTAACATTCATTTTCAAAGTTGTCTACTAAATATCAAAAGCTGTTTCTAGTAGTAGCACCAACTTAAGTAGTTGTAAAACTTTGGGCTGTAATGGAAGCCTACTCAGACTGTAGTTCCATTAGGCACTGTGTTTAAACCCCTTCGAAGTTCGCGACATCAGTAACTTAAGTGAAGAGACGACATCAAGTACCTCAGACGTAATTGCTTTTAAACGAAGCTGCAACAGCTTTACATACCAATGCATAATCAAAACAAATCTCTTTGGGAGAAACAACCTTGTCTGTTTTTCCTTAAATCTCCCTACCACCCTCCCCTCCCCCCGAAGTCTGCAACAGAAACCCCACCCCTGGAGTAGTTCTGTGAAAGTGGAATGCTGTCTAATACAATATCTACACTGACCTGAGTAACTAAAGCACTTGAAACATAGGCAGCAAGATCGTTACCATCTCACCGCGCTATTGTGAGGCATTATTTGTGAATAAAAAATAATTCTCACCGACAAACGTGACAGATAAAAGGTGATTGCCAATGTGAGTTATTTTGGCAGACGTACACACAAACTGGGTCAAGTTCAAACTTTACATAACTCAAAATGCTCTCCTTCACCTTCATAAAGTGCCTTTGTCAGCAACATAGCTTGAAGCCAGATGGTTCGGCTTCCGAGCGACTGACAAGCTGTGTCTGAAACTCATTACTGCATCTCATTGCTTTTGCTTTTATCTCACACATTTCAGTAGCAGTTACTAAGAAGACGATATGATTTAAGAGAATTCAAATAGCGAGATCAGAGGTTTGTAATCTTCAGTCAGGCACTATGCTGGTAACACAGACGAGCTGCTGTGGGGGTATCACATCAGTGATACAGTACGACCTTCATTTCAAAGCATCTCATACTTGCAACTGTTTCCAAACAGTTACCTGCCACAGGTGTAACAACACTGGCATTTATATTTCAGTGCAAAGTGTGTGTGTTAGCATCTTTGTTGAACTGTGTGTTAGGAGTGCGTTTCGATGTAAACTTTGTAAGCAGCACTTCATTGTAGATGTTAGAATGCAGTTTTCTAGTTCCCACCAATTGATCTATGCAACAATATCTTCTCTCTCCCTCTATTTCACTTTGGTAGATGTTGCTGAGTGAATATGCCATAGAGCTGGTGGAGAGGTATCCTCCTATCAGTGCCATCAAAAGCAACACCCTTTTAAATCTCAACACCAAAGAGCACACTAAAACATCAGCAGTTATTAAAAAGGCTGAAGACGACAAACAGGTAAGATGGTATCAAGGCTTTGGAAAAGGGTAATAAAACAACAAAACCCTGTAAATAGGGATTTACTGTGCCAGGAAAAGGGCAGAGTGGCCTTTGGAGAAAGCAGGAGGTGGTTTATAAAGCACCTTGTTTGGGGGTGGGACGGTGTTTTTCTGCTGCGATTGTCCGAAAAAGCATTAGGATTCCTCATCCTCCCTTTGGGATGGCAGGTACTGGGCGATGGGCTGCAGCTTGGTGACATGGCCGATGCCTTTGGTCACCCCCTGTCTGAAGAGCACCTTCGCTCCCACCTTTAGATACTCTGGGTGCTTGATGAACTTGAAGAGAACCACTGCTTTCTCCCCTGTTCTCAGCTCCTCCTGTGGTACAGTGATGTAACATGAGAATAAAACAAAGACGGCATTATGAATGGTTCAACTGGATCAAGTGCAATAGCAGCAAAAGAGTGTAGTTTAAGTGGGTAAGTAGCTTGTGGTGCTTTTTGGAGAGAGAAAAAAACAAATGTAGTCAATGTTTTTCACTAAAATGCATCGTATATACTGTAAATCCATCAGTGCTAACAAGCACACCATGTAAATCTCTCCCCTCTGACAACACTTGCAAAGCTTTTTCTTTTTTAAATCAGTCGTGCTTTTGTTGCTGCACATCCTGGCATGTCACTGACAGCTGTGGAACACTGTGACACTATTAGCAGGACTGTATCATATCACCCGTGTGCGTGCATATGTGCCTAAGATAAACAATGCAAAACGGAACCCACTCACACAAAAACAGCTCTGTACCTAGAGGTCTTTACCTAGAGGTAAAAGGATGACTAAATTTGACAGCAGCAGAAGTCATCTAGACAATGCAGTGAAACTGGTCTTGCTCATTTAAGCAAACAAATTTGTCCAAACAAACTTACAACTGAGTATCGTAACCAAAAACTTAGAGCAGGCGTGTCAGGTAGATCTATCACTTGTATTAAACTGTCAAGTTCTGTAATTTTCTCAGCTTGCTTCTGACCAAAGTAGTTGAAAAAATTACACTAATTAAGAGAAACATTTTCTGTCAACACAGTAGGTAACAATGGGATTCATGTTGGAACAGGATGAGTGTTAGTTCAGCAGATAAACTAACCTTGCCGTACACAGCTTCCACAGTTGCAGTCTGTCTCACATTGCCAATGTGCACAGTAACCTGGAAGCCCTTGTGGAAGGTCTTGGCATGGAACAGCAGCACGATTTCAGCCTCAAACATCCAGCAAATGGTCGGATCCATCTCTGGACTCACCATCACCATACCCTGTCAACGGTAAACAAGGTGATGTGGATGGTGTACACATGTGCCACATAATAAAATACAGTTTTTATTCAGTGTGTTCATGTAAAAAAAAAAAATACTCATTGTGTTAGTCATTTAAATCTACTGGTAAAAATCAATAATAAAACATGCTTTGGTACCACTTTGAGCTGTATATTATGTATGTTTGTTGAGTTTCTGTCTACCACATTGACCTATGTCTTATCACTGGTAACATACCAAATATTTCCTTTAAATACAGAGATAGACAGCTGTAGTACGTAAGTGATTATCAAGAGTCTGACCTTGCGTAGTAGCGACCGGTCAAAGTTGCCCAGTGCAAGCGTAGCAGCCTGGCCAGCCCTGAGTACCCTGCACGCCGAGCGATTCCTTTGGATGCTGCCAATGGTCAACTTGTGGAACTGGCCCGAGTCGGTGGGCCCTACTACAAGAGGATCCCCCTCACGGCAAATACCACTGCATGTTTAAAAATAGTGGGTTAGAAGGAATCCAAGCTATATGAAGATGTAAATGAAATGAACACAAAATGCAACTTTAAGAAAACAAAACATTTCAACACACTGACCTGTACAGAGTACCTCCCACTACCGTCCCCACCTCTGGCACTGTGTAGATCTCGTCCACCTGTAATGATGCACACTGCTGTCAATCACATCATATCATCTAATACTTTCATTATTTCTGAAAGTACGTATCACAGCAAGCTAATCGTGTGCATGCATGAACAAACTTATGCTCAAGTTTACCTGAAACTCAGTTAGCTGCTGCATTAGCTCCTCTTGCTCTTTGCTGTTGCTGAGGGGAGGGATGATGTTGAAGAAGACCTTCAGCAGGTCAAGACTCTCTCCAGACACACTGGACAAGGTGAAGATTGGCGTTATGCTGCCAGGAAGAGCACAAGCACATCATCAGGACACAAAGGTATAACAGTCTAGTTTCTAACCTCTACTAGAAGGAGCAGACCTGTAACTACATAGCACTAAATTACAGACAAGTTCATGTAATTATGTATATCAGTGTGTTTCATACCTGGGTGACTGGGCGAACTGCTGTGCTGCTGTGACGGCATCGTCTGTACTGCTTACAACCATAGGCACCTTGTTGCAGCCCGGCTGCTTCAAGACACGCTCCAGCTGCCTCACTGTGCGCTCCACCGTGGCCCGTGTACACAGGTCCACCTTACTAATAACAATAAAGATGGGCACCTTCAGTGCCATGGCGAGGCCAAGATGCTCCCGTGTTGTACCAGCTAGGAAAAGAGTGAGAATGGGGAAAAAGTCATAAGTTACAGCTACGCTTGCCTTCCATTGCCTCATATCACTAAGAGAGCTTTCACAACCAAGGCAATGTTTATTTGATCTGTTCAATATGATGGATTATATCTGATCCAGGGCAAGTTTACATTAAATAAGAAGGAAAGGATATCATCTTTTACTTAAACACAATCACATATTAATGTACACTATTGCCTCAGGCTGAATAAAACCTACAAACAACCACGTATGGAAATGGCATGATCAAGACAGGGCCCCATAAAACATCAAATCAATGTGTCTTCTGAGGATTTTATTCTGTGTACAAACAGTTGCTCTCTCACAGAAGTGCAAGCAGTTCTTTAGAAATCATCACAGCTTCTAATCTGTGCAGTTAAGACATGTTGTGACCGCAGATAACGTTGGTTATCTGTAAGCTGGCAATTAATGTCAAAGATCACATACACACTGACAAGACTGGGAAGAATTTCCCATGACGTACTTATTGTTATGTCAACGGAGAGAACACACAGGATAACAGAGCAGGGTAACATATACCATATATAGTAATTATGTCACTGCATATGTCGTCCAAAATGGCAATTAATAACCAGTCTAAACCAAGACACTTGTTCCAAAGTCAGCTGTGTCCTGGGCGCATGTCTGCTGGGTTATGTTCTTTGTAAACAAAGCTGGCACGTGAGTAGGTTATGTCTCAGTCGGATATAGGTCTCACCTCGTCTTAGGTCAGAGATTTTAAGGATACTGTCCCATAACATACATTTACAGGCTGACTGAGACGGAACATACCCTGACCTCTTGTCAGCTGAGCTGCAATGTTTTGCTGGCTGTGTTATTTTCGGTGCATTCAGGTTAAAGATGCATCGGAGAAAATGTAGTACCTCATCCTTCAGCTTTGATTACTTGCCCTTTGGCTTGTTGGCTCGTCACAGTTACAACCTAAGACGAGCCCTATGCATTACGCAGATCAGTTGCTCTGTTTCATAATTAAAGCTGTAGCTCTTGGGTTGCAGACAGCATGTCCCTTTCTGTCTGCTGCGTAGCTGAGGTGGTCCTCATTCTTGACCTCATTTTCCCCAGCATGCCCTACTTCAGACATACACACAAACATAGTAATGTGTACCGTGCAGCACGGAAATTCAAGCACAGATAAACATCAATTAAAGAAGATGGAGATGCAGGTTTTAAAAAAAATGTGTAGTACTGCATATCAAGTATTTTCTCAGATTTCAATTTCAAAATCAGCTAATTTATTCATGGTGTTTTTAGGCCCCAAGATATTAAAGTGCATGTGTCCTTGTCAGGAGGAAATTTGTATTCCTAAACTTCAGGGTCAAACTTCATTTCCTTTTAATTATGTGTTTTTACAGCAGCGGGTGTATTTTCTTTTTGTTGTTGGCATAATCCTAATGAATGAATATAAATCAAACACTAGCTATTTACTGAGGGACGTATCTAGGCCAAGGACAGACTGATCAGAGATTTACATCCATTCTATTGATGCCAAATAACTGGAAAAAAAAAAAAGCATAAACAAATAGCAAATTCACATGCATTTTTAAATATACTGGGACTGTGCAGAACAAGCTTTGGAGTGTTCCAATATTTACCTATTTGTTTTGGTATTTATGCTACTACTGGGGTTAGACAACAGCAAAAAAAAGGGTTAATAAAACAAAAGTCAAGGTTAAGAATCTTTTGAAAAATTACTCAAATCATACATTAAAAAGGACCCTAAAACCAGCTGAACACATCCATCTGTACAGTAACAGCAGCTCAATATAGCTCACTTAATAAGCAGGCTGTGACGTGTAGTGCGAGGTAACAAGTGTTGTCTCAAAGGCTCAGATTTCATATACAGGTCTCTGTGCTACTTACGAAAGGAAATGCAGCTACAGATTGCCTAATAGGCAAATGAGATTTTGTAGAATTGCTTTTAAAATGCACACACAAACACAGTGGAGCTCTTACTAGAGTCCACTTGCTCACCGTCACCCAGTCATCTGACAGAGTTGACATAAACAGAGATATGGCACAATGGTTTAGTGATCCAATGCTGCTGCCTCCCCCAGTGGTGTCGTGTGGCTTTGAACCCCAACTTCTAACAACATACCTTAAAAACTACTTCAAAATGTGTTCTACTTCTACAGCAACAAAAGTAAACAAACAACATACCATCACGTACAGTACACAACTGTCTAGCCTGTCCCACCAGCTCAGGTTTCAAAGTATGTCCTCCCTGGACACAGGCTTCCTGCACTCAGTCTCACTTGCTGTTATCATAAAGCGTCTGGGTTGGTGAAAGCACATCATGCACTAATACTGAATCTATAAATAAAACATAAGCTGAAATATGATGTCTAAGTGAGGCTTATTATTTTCCTTTTTCAGATAAAGATCAGAATTTAAGTGAAAGTACTTTAAATTTAAAAAAAAAGATGAATTGATTTTAAAGGGTTCAAAGTTGGACTGCAAAAATCCTTCATGCAACACAAATTATATGTAAATTATTGTGTTCTTTTGTAGCACGTGAGCAACTTATTTGCATTGCCTTTTTAGTTAGGGTACATGACGTGTATCTTGAGCTGTTGCCTGGTTGTTGTTTACCCTGTATCCTGCACAGTGTCTCCTTGGAGAAGGAAACACACCAGCTTTTAGATGTGTGGAGACTTAAAATTCTGGTGGAATTCACTCTAAAATGATCAGCTTATTCAGAAAAAAAAATCTGGGTATTTAATAATCACACAAAACAGAAAGCCTCACCACTATTTAAAAGGCTGCCTGCAAGTATTTAGGGCAGTGACTGTAAATTGTTATGTCCTTTTGCAAAGTCAGCAATGTTAAAATACACAAGTTTACTGACCCTTCTGCTGGGTCGGGTTTAGACTCAAGCACAGAACTACCTCCAGTGGGTCATACCGCTCCGACATGAATGGCCGGTATTTGAGATATTTCGGGACTAGCTGTAGCAGGCAGGGACGAGGAGGAGGGATAAAGGGGGCGTTTTAGGAAGGATGGTTTGTTACGTAAGCTCAGATATCACATGTCTGCAAAGTGCCAAGCACAGCTGGTCAAGTCCACTACACTGTAGAGTGTGGTGTACACAAACATGGGCTCACTGTCAGATGAGCCCTGCAAGTTTGTATTACCAGCTTGTGAAAGATTCATTCTTAATTTGGGGTAACTAAATAGTCAGGTGGCTGGATAGAGGACACAGAGAGAGACAAAAGTACATTTTAATTGACACACACACACACAAAAAAAGAAATCGGATTAAAATAAATGCTCACCAATGCCAGTGTTTGCGCTGACGACCAGCATCGCAAAATCTGGACAGTAGCTGGTGAGGCCAAAGATGGTGGTCTTCAGGTACTTGTGATGACCCGCCAGATCAATGAATGTGATCATTTTAGAGGCGCTCTCACAAATCTCCTCTGCTGTTCGAGACTCACTGTAATTCACAACCTATAGGAAAAAAAGTAAAGCTAGATATTAGCTACTAATATTACTTGAAGATGGAGCAGTTTGGTGAGTTTTACACTGTACGAGAATTCAAATCCACCCAGGTTGCAACAACCATAACACCATTCATTTAGCTCTTGCTGCTGCTTCAGACAAATGCTGTAAAGTGTATATAACTAGGCTGCTTATTACTTATTCTTTGGCAGTGGGTGTTTTCTCACCTCCCCTTTACTGTTAAAGCCAAGGATCTCAAAGCTGATGCTTGAAGTGCGTCCAGTCTGGATCTCATGTAAATGTCTGAAGAGGTTGAGCCTCGCTCTTCCCCGTCCATTGTCCAGCTCACCCTGTGTCAAAACCCCTAACAGCGTGGACTTTCCTGAATCCACATTGCCCAGTACAGCTACTCGTAGGTCTAGGAACTACAGAGGGGGAGAAATAAATAAATAAATACAATTCAAATGCTGCACAGTTAAAAATGAACAGAGTGGACAAACAACACGCCTTCACAGTCGGCCCACTAACCTGCTGGTCATCTGGCACCTTGCGAATGAGAACTTCAGCAATCTTACGAGGCACATCGGAGTCATAATCCACCTCCCTCTCTCTGAGAACGGCGATGTCAGCTCCAACTCTGTCAGGAAAAAAAAAGAAAGAAATTGATGAATCTGAATTGCATAACAACCTCTCTCCAGTTTTGGTCAGTTTGTACTTTCCATCAGTTTAGTTTGAGTTTAGTAAGGGAATCTAAAAGCAACTGTCTGATTAAAGCGGAATAACAGACATTACTCATAGCAGACATTTTACAAGATTATAGTCGGAAAAGCACACGTGTACCTGCTCACACTAACAATGGCTGCAATCTATTAAGGTGAGCCCTTGTCTGAGCATTGTATTGTGCATGCTGGCAGACTGACATGGGTTAATTAGACAGTTAATGGAGCGCAGCCATTGTTAAGGTTATTAATTACTCCTGTGCTTTTGCGGCAAAGACAAATCAAAATGTCTGCTGGGGAAAAAGGTGTGTACAGAAAACAAAAAGAAAATCAAGGTATTTTGTGGACTTACTTCTCTGCCAGCCTATGGAGCGTTTTTAGCGACGCCCTCATGTCCTCCTCTGATAGTCCCACCAGCATGCCGTTATCTTCAACACCTATTTGATAGACAGCTTCGCCTCGACCCTCCTGCAGTCGCCATTTCATTTGCGTGGCCAGGTGCTCAAAGCGGTATTGTGTGGGGTTCACCAGCTTCAGCTACACAAAGAGAAGACAGCGGTGTTTAGCCTAAACCTAGACTGTGAGGAGTTTGTCATTTAATAATACTGATTCAAATAACTAAAATTACAAAGGATTACCTTTGGACAGAGGCAATAAGAAATAAAGCCTGTGTCGGTGTAGCGGGGAAGCAGCTGTCCAGATACTAAAAATGCTCTTGCTAATCCACTGTGGTGTTAAATTTCCAGGGCGAGACTGTACTTGTATATTCTGATGTATGTATTGCTGACTGACTGCAATAATGAATTAGCTATAACATCTACAGAATTGTTTTGAACCAGTATGGCCGACATGAAACATTTTTATATGAGGCAACGAGCTCTCCTTGAGAGACAACAAAATATTATAATAAAGGAACACATATCACAGCTAATTTGCTTACCTTGTACTCTATGTTTCCCTCTTCAGCCTGAGAGACGGGGAGAGAGACAAAGAGAGAGACAGAAAAGGAACAACAGCTGTCAGACCGTAGAGAAGTGAGACAACAGGCTATTGATTTGTTAAAAGACAAAAAGAGAAGCAACCTGACTGACTGAGCTGTGCTCCTGTGAATAGGTGGTCACTGACAGCTAAACAAACTAACTGCTTAGCTAGCCTTTATACACACATATATAACATTTTATTAAACAAAGCAAAAAGGGTGTAAAGGTTACATTCAATAACTGTAAGGTCAACTAGGCGATCTCCCTAAAAGTGGGACAAATCTATAAATATATAACAGTTGGGGGTCACTTTAGGATCATGGAATATGTTGAACCTCATAAACAGTTGACTGCCATGGTGCTATGACACTTTATCTCTTTAACTACAAGACAAGTTTTATAAAAAACTTACACCACAATCTAACCCTGAAAGAAATATGTTTGGCTCAGAGGTCAACTGTGATGGTCTATTAGTAGCTCGAGCTAACATCATGTTTACTTCCTCGTTTTTGAGAAAATATTGACAGCTACTGAGTTAATTATAATTCAAGTAACTAACGCAGTAAATAAATAAATTTCCTAGTAATATTTAGTGATTGTGTAGTAGCACAGTCCTTCTAAGACTATAAATAGTCTGACAGGCTATATAGTACACTACACCCGCCCCCCTATTTACAAACACAGCTGTTTGCAATGCTAGCTAGCTAACTATTAGCCACCTAGTTATGTCAAATGGCTTTTGATTAACACACATTTGGCTTGTGACTCCAAAAGTGCAGCAAATGGCAGATTAACAACTGATAGTAAATGTGAGATTGCGTATCTTGGCCCGGCATCTTCATTCATTTTCTTTTTCACCGACTAGCTACGTGTCACTGCAGGTTCACAGACAAGTCAGAGGAGGGAAGCTAACGCCGGGGACAGGAAATGAAACCGAACGTATGATTTGCGTTACACATAAACAGAAAGCAGCCAAACACCAGTTAGTTTACTGTCATTACCAGACTTCATGTGTCGTAAATAATATTATTAGCTAGCTCTAGCTGTATCGTTTCCACCTTACCTCCGGAGGTAGATACGGGGTGTTATTGCTTGGTTTGAAGTTGCGAGAGAATCGAGCTTTTGCCTTCTTGCTCTTTGCAGACGCTTTTTTGGGGGCTACCCCAAAGCCGTTCCCCGACTTGGACGCAACACCTTGAGACCCAGAGCCGTGTCCATTTCCTGAGCCAAATAACTCCGATACCCGCGCATCCATCGGCTACTTTGGAACCTAACTTGTTAGCTTACCACCACCTGAACGAATAAAATGCTATGTTATTAAAATAAATCTCGAACCAGGCATGGAGGGGCTAATATTTAACTGTAATTATCCCGCCAGTGGCAGCTTATAGCCCCCAAAATAAAAACAAAGCGCCGACCTCCCCCTAACTCCTGAAACCGAACAATAACAGCACCGTCCGAGACTATCCTTTTGAGTTTACAGTGAGCCTACGTCACGGCCCGAAATGTCAAAGAGGTGCGCCTGTTTTATTACACGATAGAGCGCGAGTGAGCGGTTGCTTCTGTTGTCTGGCTGCATTGTATCTTTAAACTCCGCCCGCCTGACTACGCGGGTCAGCACAGCGTTCGCACACATACACACGCCGATTTGCAGCCCTTTGCATCAGACGAAAAAGGAAATATTTGTTTGCAAAAAAAACTTTAGGAAGTCTGTTCACAAAAGATGATGACACAAAATCGAAAAATGTGTCATCAGCTCAGACACGCAGCATCTGACCTATAGGGCTGGCATTTGGAGGCTTTGATACCTTTTCAGTCATGTATTGATATTGTGTATTGTCGATATGTTTTGGTTTTCAGTGACGTGTTTGCTTTGTTATTGTTGTTTTAGCTGTAAAGGGCGTTTACTCTGTCATCCCTTTGTTGGGTTTTAAGTTGTGTTTAATTTATTCAACGCTTTCAGTACACCCTTGAAGGCTGATCTTTTTTTAAAGGCACTATTAATAGGATATTTATTTTTATTGGTATTTTATTTTTTATATCACCTTTTAACTTTTGTTTTTTTAAAGACTGTGACTATATTAGCTTCTACAAAGATGATGCCAAACAAAATGTTGTTGTATTTTTTTGTACAATGAAAATAAAGCTTCTTCTTTATATCTGATTTCTTATTTTACAACACTGAGTTGGCATATCCATTATATTTACTGCCACTTAAAAAACAACAACAAACAAACAAAATAAAACAAAAACAAACAGAGGAAGAAAAAACATGGCTTGGGGACAAGAGTGCCCCCTAGTGCCCCCTAGGGACACTCTGTTTTGAAGGTGTTTTGCCCCAACAAGTCTGTTAAACTGATATGAGCTGTCCTGGGCCCCTTGAGAGAACCTCTGAGTATTTTGGCTCAGTTGTTGTTACGGTTTGAAAGATGATCTCATTGTGTATTTCAAGTGTTGTTTAGCAATTTCATCATAATATAGGCTAACTGGGTTTTAAAAAGTAATTAAATACATTTGTTATGCAAATTGCCTTATTTACCTCCAGACTAGATTTGAAGTTTTTGCCAGCAAGCTTCATTATATTCGCTCCTGCTGTTACAGTCACTTACTGTTCTTAATACATATGTATATTAGTTGTATTAATACTCAGGTTCAAGTGGTTTATTCTCCAACATTATCACATATTGTACACAGGGATATTTCAGCTTGTTAAGCCTGAGTCCATTCATTTTCTGAGGCTATATTTTGAAATGTGTTCCATTTAAAACAACATTGTCTGACTTATGTTTGCCACTTTAGGATCACACAGGCATTGAATGTAACACAAGCATTTTCCAAGGTCATTTAGGATTAGTTGCATATTTACTCAAAATGGGTTAAGGTCAGATAGATTTGATACAATCTAGTTACATAAAATACCCTAAAACTCCTTCCTCTGCTCCTTGCTCTGAGCATTTTTGTCTGTCCAGAAATATGTCATTTAAAGACCTTTTGAAAAAAACAAAATTCTGTGTTTCTGCACATTAATTTGCTGTTTCCAGACCCTCAAAACACAGTTCACACGCTCTCTGGCTGTATCTTCTTGCAAAGAGACAGAACAAGGGGACAAGAGTGCCCCCTAGGGACACTGTTTTGAAAATATCAGTATGTTCCCCACTCTGATCTGAGCTCCTCTGGGCCCCTTGAGAAAACCTACAAGTTCGCATCATTGCAACATGCAATACAACATTTGACAAGTATGCTGGCTTGGTTTTTGATACCATTGTTTAAGCTTTACCTGATGACATCCACTGGGTTTATAAATTAATTTATTTGTTGCACAGATTGCCTAATTCATCTAGATTGTAAATTGTCATCACCAATGTTCACAGCATTTGCTCCTGCTGTACAGTACTTCATGCATATGTCATACATACATACATCTTTCAGCTCTTCAAGCCTGATTCAATCCCTTCTTTTTACACTATATTTTGCAATGTGCAACTTTTCAATTTAAAACAAATTTCCCCGACTTATTATTTTATTTCCTTTAGCATCACACATGCACTGAATAAAAGCTAACCATCATTTTGGATTAGTTGCATGTTTACTTGAGATGGGTTAGATAGATTTAGTTGTAGTTGCACAAAATGCCTTCAAAGTTATTTCTCTGTACTTGTAGTCTGTCCAGAAATATGGCACGCAAAGACCTTTTGGAAAAGCAACAGTATGTTTCTGCACATTTATTTGCTGTTTTACAGAGCTCAAAACACCCAGTTCACATGAACTGAGGCTGCTTGTTCCTGCAAAGAGACTGAGATTTGAGAAAAGTCAGCCAACTCCCCTGTGGGAGATGAATAGTTCCAGAGTCTGGCATTTCTGAAACTCAACACTGATTGGTCAAGCGACCTCTGATGCAGAGGCTCAGCCCATTCGATCCTGGCTGAGAGAAGTGTTTTGAGAGTTTTATAGCCGTGAGTTCTTTCACACGTCCCCATTCACATCTGCACACATACACACAACGCTCTCCTGGTTCAGCTCCTTTGATCAGCATGAGCTATCCACTGGTGATACTGCTCTGTGTGGGACTTCTGCACCAGACTGCAAGAGCTGTGAAGATGGATAAAATAGCAGATGAAAAGATTTGTGGAGATGCAGAGTGCACATGTAAGTTAGAGCATTAAAAAAATAAATAAAAGCATGATGAAGAGAACGCATCCTGAAAGAGATCTCATATTAAAAGCACACAATAAAATACGTGTGCTTGATAGAGTTTCAGTCGACGCTTATAATTCACTTTCCTGTTTTGTCTTCTCTGCTTTATCAGATGTTCTCTCCATGGCCACAGCCCTGGATGACTTCATTGCTCCTGACTGCAGATTCATCAACATCAGGAAGGGTCAGATGGTTTACGTGTATTCTAAACTCGTACCAGCGGAGGGCACTGGAGTCTTCTGGTCTGGAAGTGTATGTGCATATTTGTGGCATGTCATTTAATAACGCTGCACACCAGCAAAGGCACAGAGGGTTTGCTGTAACAAACGTCCCGGCCATTCTGACAGGAGCAAAATGTCAAGAAAGATATTTGGTTAAATATTGAATTCCACTGTATCTGAAATGAGCAAGGATTAAATTATGCCAGGTTTTGTAAGGAAGGTTAAATGCATAAAACATATACAGTGTGGTGCATGTTAATTTGCTAGAAGGTGCCTTGTTCTTTTCGCTGGCAGGTTTACAGTGAGCGGTATGTGGACCAGATGGGCATCATCGGATACTTTCCTGCAACTGTGGTGAAGGAGACACACAAGTTCACGGTAGACACAGTTAAGATGCAAACAACTGTGAGTATATCTGTGTCTTTTATAGGACATAGCTTGTGATGAATATTTCTTTCTTTGTTCATTTTATGGAATTATAGATGGGGTCAACTTTATGTTTTGCATTTCTTTTCAGGACATGGACTTCTACTGTGATTAAGGCATGACAGAATGAAAGCTTCCTCCTTTCAAGGCTTTCTTTCAGCAGCTCTGACTTTAACAGGACAATTATTTAGTCATGTCCATGTGTCAGACTATGTGCCATTATATCCTGTTTGCATCGCCTTCATCTGGAATGAAACTGCCTCAAGCTTTCTGTGTATTTTGCTCAATAAACCTTTCTCCACGTCATTTCAAAAAATCTTGATTATATGAAAAGACAAGAATCAGTTTTCCAGTTTTGACTTTTTCAAGCAATTTTACTGTGCATCTCTGCTAACATCCAGTAACCAAGTGGAAAATAGCTGCTGTGAAGACCTTCACCTGTCGTAAACACATTATCTGATTCAATTTGAGACGCCGATCTTTTTTTTATTTGAGTGTCAAGGTTTCTTCTGCTGTTATCAGAGACAGTTTTGTGTTACACATGAATCGTTGCTTGCCACGAATCATTCTAAAGTAAGAGGGGAAGAAGTCAATTGATTACCCCTTTTCCTTCTGAAAAGAAACGCGATATTAGAGAAATAATTGCACAGAGATGTCACGGCTGGTGTGCAGAGCTCAGGGCAGAAGGCCAAGATGCAGACACTGACTAGAAATCGTTTGGTAATTTTAGCCACAGCAGGCTTATAGGCAGGCAGACAGGTACATGCTAGGACACGGAAAACTGGTGGTAACAGGCAGTAGCTGTAACACACTGGGAGGAAAAAAAAAATCACTGATAAACTGAAAAGGAGAACGAAATTGAATAAATATAAAAAAAAGTGGCAACGGGGAAATGGGAACAAGTGGGTAAGTGGGAGGGAAATTACCAAAATGCAGGGTTAGAGGTGCTACTGCAGGACGAGGGATTCAGGTGACAGAGAAAGATACGAAAATGAAGTTAGGGACAAGGACACAGGCGGAAATAATGTCTTAAAATCCATTCATCATCTACCCTAACAGTTTTGCCTTTTAGTGATTCCTCGATAGCTGATAAATCTAATGAGATGCATCAACACAGATGAGGTCATGAGTTTTGCTGATATGTGGTGTCGCATCAGGTCAGTAAATCACAGTAAAAACTACAACAGTAGTGAAAAAATAACAAACACTATATGCCATAACAAATATTCAAACTGGAGTAAAGTCAGCACTCAGAATGCAAATACAAAGGTGGATTGCATAAAAATGTATTCATCAGCAAGCTACAATACAGTTGACCTACTTGCTTCTTTTCAATGTATTTTTATGTTTTGACCTTACAGCAGAAACATCAGGATGCACCAGTTCTGCCCAAAGCCCTGCAACATGTATTATATTATTCTGAATTATGTCAGTAATTCCTTAAACGCTTACAAGGACTGCTTCTTGCCAGTATTGCAAGTATTTTGCAAATACAACGTGAAAAGCTCAAAAAAATGCTCCAACGATACGAGATATGAAATTATCATTTCCTCAAGGAGATTACATCTGTTTACCAGTCCGCCTGCCTCACGCACCCACCCACACAGCTTCCAAAGAAGTATCATGATTAAACGTGGCCTGACATATTTTCGCTGTTAAGACTCTTTCCAAAAGGTCGACTGGAATCTCTTTTTGATTGGTTTTGAGTCATCTGTCATATTTCCTTTCTGTGTCACAGCACCCGCCCAGATATAGTAGCGAATGCAGCATCTCAATCAAGTCTTTCTCATTCACTACAGTGGGATTATTAAAACTCAAAGACATTTTTATTTTGATAAACTCTTGCTTTATGTTCTTCAGAGCTGCCATTTAATTTCTCAGGAAGTCTATAGCTGAACGTATTGATTTTTTACGGCCGCTGCAAACAGGTCATTTCCATTAGTTTATTTCTGTTTGACCAGAGGCATTCTTTGGTATGCTTACAAGTTTAGGAAATAGGGCTGTCACACACACGATCAATCTCCTGCTGTCCCCTACTCAGCACAGATCAATACAAACCTGCTTCAAATGTGCTACCACAAAATGTCACTCAGCAGAAACATACCTGGGGCATGTCTAAAGACAGGAGGGAGGAGAAGAGAAGAGAAGAGAAGAGAAGAGAAGAGAAGAGAAGAGAAGAGAAGAACAAATAAGCGCTTTAGAAAATAATCTCAATTCAGAAAAATACCATCTGTCTCAATATGCGGTGCTATTGGAATGAAATTGGAATCATTACGGGGTATCCGCAGAGGAACTGGATGCTGAATTCAAGGGTTGTTACAAACAATTGTCCCAACGAGGTGAAAGGCTACGGGATCTTTTCAGCTGATTGCCAATTGAAGTTGTAGAAGAGTGTGCGTGCGTGCGTGCGTGGGCCCATGCAAATCCACAAAATCCACAAATCACAGCAAGTTAAGTCAATCTTCAGCGAGACAGCTGTAGCTTTAGGGTGTTACCATGGTGACAGGCAGGGATACTGTGACAGAAGAGATTGATGTATGTGCACGCCTGTGTGTGTGTGTGTGTGTGTGTGTGCTTCCTCCATGTGAGCTTAAAGGAGCAGCTGCCAAATGCAGGCTACAGTAGGTACGTTTTAGTTTTTTTTTTTCCACCCAGTGTCACACCCACACCTCTGCAGGAGGAGCGCAGCACCCTGTAGAGCAGAGAAATCAGCAGCTTCAGATCTGGTTAGCATCTGACTGTGACATTTCAGACTTGGGAAACAAAAGTATTTATTGTTTTTTTTGTCCCATTCCAAAAAAAGAAACTGGTATGTGTGGAGGATGGCAGTGTTGATACAGTAACTTCCAACAAGTTTTTTGCTTTTTTTCCTTCAAGGATGAACTAATTATAGGAGGACCAGCAAAAAGATAATGTGACAAGAAAATGTGTGGAAAAAAAAATTCCTGGATAAGACAAAACACTCCGATCGCTGTGGCGAAGTCTTAAAAAAATGATGTAACCGTACAGGATTGACGTGGGAATAAGAAAATAACAAGATTGAGAAGGAGAACATTTGAAGTGCAAACATACTGTATTGCTCCCCAGACATGGGATGACTCAGCGTGAATGTTTTTTCACTGAAGCAGCTCATTTCTTTCCTTTGGCAAACAAGCGTCTTTGTCCCCCTGAGAAAAAAAAAAAAAGGTATTTGCTCAGGACATTGACAGACAGAAAACTAATTTGCCATCCTCTAGTGTGATGGAGGACTCTCCGCCGTATGTATACATGCACAACTACAGGCAAAAAGGGGCTGACTTAATCCGCAGTGTCGTGGAGGCGCTTGAATGATCGGGTTTGTCGGCCCAAATACTCTTCAGAATGTCAGAAAATGCCAGCTCACCGCTTGTTTTGAACCAATCAATCAATCAGTCGGCTCGAATCAATCACTCCCTAAAGCCCGCGGATCGGCGCTGTCCTTCTCACTTGATTAATATCTTCTGCATTTCCAATGTCGGGCTTGTTTTGTGTCAAGAATGTGTGCAAGAAAAAAAAGAAAAAGCTCATCGGATCACGCGTTTGATGCCATATTTCAAGGATACGTGACAAAAGAAGTGATTCATTGCGAAGAAAAGTGCAACTTCAACAATATTCTCCCTCTCTGTCAGTATTTATCCATCTAACTCTCTTGTTCTCTCTCCTCCACTGTGTCCGTGTTGTATCTCTGAGTCACGTAATTGCACAAGCCAGTGTAATTCCCCCCCATTTTCTCAGTCACACAATGACACAAAGAAGCCATTGATTTTATTTCTTGTGTGTTCAACCCTTTCCAAACACCTCGGCGCTCTGTTGTATCTACTGTCTGATGTTTGCTACTCAATCCTGGTGGAAAGAAGACGTATGAGAAGCAGCAAAAAAGTGATAAATAGTGAAATAAGCTACATTTCCAAGAGATCCATTTGTTCACTACAATCACCTTTTAAGTGAGTCAGCGCACATACATCCTCCAGTGAACAGTTTTAATGCCTCCTGGAGAGATTGAAAGCGTGATGGGATGGGCTCAGTGGGAGCGACGAGGAGGAGGAAGACTGTCTGAATGAGTGTGAAAGAAGCATTGACGATTTTTCGGTTATTCCTCAACTCATCATTCACCTCCATTTTTTTTTTTGTCACACCTGAATAAACCTATTTCTTCAGGACAACCCTCTCCTCACCTTGTGAGAAAACCAACTTCCTTTCATTGTTTTTTTTTTTCTTTCCCTCCCCTGTTTTTGCCAGTCACCCTGGTAACCAGAAAGATTCAGTGAAAGGTTACAGTATGTGTCTGGCAGTGGATGCTGGTGTTTGGGAGGGATTAGCGGTGCGTCAGCTGACCTTCAACCATGATCCAAGAGAAGCTTTATGTGACGCACCTAACTATCTCTATTTGGCTAATTGTGTTCTTTAAGGTCAGGGGGTCAGAAGGCTGGAAAAAAAAGGAAATGAATGACACCACGAGGAAATTAGATGCATTTTAACCTATGCAAATCAAGAGACCTCATTCGGAGATCGCTTGGGCGCAGTATAGATGCATTAGCTGATATAATGAAAGTCCAGCACATTGGTATATGACAGCGCATGGAGTCACAAATCAAAGATCACTGAATGATTGAGGGTTTATCTTGTCAGTCACATGTCTTCCACTAAGTAGCTTACAAGTCGTCCACATAAGATGCTGAAAATGAATGAAATCAGAATGAAATCTGCATGCAAACTTATCAGATTTAGATTTTTAGGACAATCCAGCAAAGCATATTGTATCTATATCTCATTAAGTATTCAGAACTGTGCCGTCTCAAACAGTCCTGCACAGGCCACATATTGAATTCACATTTGTCAGAAGCTGTAACACCAAATACATTCATATCCACAAAATCTGTGCACTATTAATATTTCTCTTTTGCTCCAAGGAACGTCACAGGAGGTCATTCCTCCCGACAGCGTTAAGACTTTTTAATGCTTTAATCTAAGCACATTATCACTTGCACATTTCTGTATCTCTCTTATAGATTCTTGTAAATTTTGTTGACTTCCTTCTGTATCATATTGTCTATATTTTATCTTCATTTTATACCCTACCTTAATATTCTGTGTTGTCTTTTTGCTCTGTTTACCCCATTTGTTGAACATTCATGCTGCTGTAACAACTGAATTCCCCCCTTGGATTAATAAAGTCAGTCTAACTCTAGTATTTCTACTCATGAAAGAATTAGTGCAACACCATCCAGAGGAATTTCAACAGTCTGAACTCTTACTTATGTATATTATTTGTTTATTTTTCTACTAACATATCTTAAA